CCTGCACCGAGACCGCCTGGCCCCCTACCGGGCCCGGGAGGAGGAGCCGTGTGGGGAGGCTCTAGAGGAGCAGCCAGGGCTGGAGCCGGCCGATAATGGGGCGTCCGTGGGTCACCAGCTGTCACCGCGGTGCAGCGGCCGCTCACGCAGGGTTCCACAGTAGTTAGCCGAGTACGAGTACAGCCTGAGGGGGGTGTTCGACGTCGGCGAGACGCCAGACACTTCAGGTGGGGGCAGTGTAACGTGTTACTAAGTGTTATTAGGAAACTATATAATTATATTCATGTTGCAAAAAAACTGCAACGGACATAAAAACTCCCTTGCGTTTAACAGAGTGTTCCATAATTTCTAACTACGAAAATTTATTTAAACTGCGACACTTATCATTCAACCTATAAGATATAGAAATTAATAAGAAATAATTATATTTGTGTACTGCGACAGGGCTGTGTAGGGCTGTTCCACCTCTCTCTTCATGTGCCTTCCCTTGTAGCCCACTGGTCTATGTGCCTGATTACCAACTCATGGGTTGTGTATTCAAATCCAGCTGGCGCTGTGACTTTTCTTTTAACAAACATTTCTTTGAAAAAATAGAATAGCAATATTATGGACAATCAATTGACTTTTATATTTCAAAATATCACAACATGATCGAATCTAAGTCATTTTTGATAACAATGAATAGTCACCTTCTTCCCTTCTCACAACGGTCCCTGCTTCTGCTTCCTGCTTCTATTGTGTGTGTGTGGGGGGATCCCTTCAGATCTCCCTTCAGATTTAAAAGGTTATTAATTATATCTTCGGTGTCGCATCTTACCAGTGCAGCTGATCTTTTGCTGCCTGGGCGGGTCAACTATCACAAAGCTTTAGAGAACCTAACATTTCTATTATCAACAAATTGTAAATTTTTATAGAGAAATGGAGGCTGGACAGTATGCGTTACAATCGTTTTTTATTTTTCAAATACGTTTTAGAAAAGTGTAATCTATACCTGCCCAGACTGTATGCCCGCTTCACTGTGGGAAAGCCGCACTGGTCGCCGGCCTTCCTTAACTCTGCCTTGACCACTTTCACTCCTATCCTGCTCTTCCCCACGCACCCCAGCCGGGCGCTCTTCGGCCTCTGCCCGGGACGAATGTATATTTAGATATTTACACCCGGCGCGGCACCGAGGGAGCATCTGCATTTATAACTTAGTTTTTAAAATTAGTCAAGCAATATGAAGCATCTCCTTTTACTTTTAAGTCCTTTAAATACATTGAGCACAGCTTTCTCACCACTTAGATTACTTTTTGATACCATCCTTACACAAAGCAAAAACGTATTTTGTGTATTTACACATGACATACGTATTGTATACATAAAAAAATGAAGAAAAAAAATCAGTAACAGAGCCACACCGGTATTATATGTGTAAAGAACTGTTTAGTTCGCAAAAAAAAAGAGAAATTTGTCATGTTGTGGAAGTTTGTCTGTTTTCTTTTATTTGTATGAGAGGTTAAAGAGAAAAAAGTTTTGGTTTACACTGATACTTATGTATTTTCCGATGACATACAGTACAAGTGGAAAGATTACAGATTTTAATTGTCTTTACGTTTGTTACGTTATATGTTTTAGGAACGTTTCATCTATACAAACACCACAAAACTATTCTCGATTGTATTTCTGAATGTTATGTTACACCTACAGTAGTTCACTGCTTTAAATACATTGAATTAAGAAAGTTAGGTGAAGCACTTTAGATCTTTTTTTCTGAACCAGGTGATCATATTTCTCTATAACAATAATAAAAAACTTTATTTTACATATTACCTTTAAAAGTGGTATCTCAAAGCAATACAGTAGATGTAAACCACAGATTACAAAGTAAATACCCAGACAAACACAAACGCGTTTTTAATAAAATTGTTTTATTAATTCAGCAGAGAGAGAGAGACATCCGGCACAGAGAGACACACACACAGGTTTTCATTGACAACAAGTAATTGTTTTTTTTTACATTCCCCTTGTCTAACAGGAATGTTTTGTTTGTGGACAGACTAATACAGTAATTAATTTCACTAGTAGTAGTTTAAAAATTTTAAAATAGCAAAAACTTCTAATAATACCTTACAAATGTACTGTACTATACTTTAAAATGCTGCAGGCATCCTGTTAAATTGATAAAGTGAGAAAGGTGGGTCTGCGAGAACATGATCACATCCCCAACACAAGTGTTGCCAGATCATTTCAGGGCTACAATGTCTCATGATGGGTTGAGCATCAGCATGACTTCATTCATTCAGCAGTTTAGTGAGGGTCATAAAGATGTATAATGCCTAAAACCAATGCCAAGATAAATTAAAATGTTTCGTCTTAATTTACTACATTAATCACCTTACTACCTACTTCTATTCTGTTAATGAAGATAAGCTCAATGCTTATACTATAAACCCAATAGACAGGGCAGAAACACAAATAATTGACAAATTCACTAAGACGTAGCCTTTACTGTTTAATCTTTTTTGTGACATGTTTTCAGGACATTGTTTAATCTTCCTGTTTGTGCAAGTACTGCACTCAACTAATCAACTGATGTGAATTTTAGATATGCTGTATACACGCTTAGGTGCAATTCTATAAATTGTGTGTAGCATACCATAAATAGTGTGTCTCTAAAATTCTATTGATGTCTGTTCATCTCTTCATCTTCTTCTCAAGATGACTTCTCAAATGACTTAGGAGACTAAGCAAATTGAAAAATGTGTAAACCATTATAATATTTCTGTTTATTATAGTAGAAACTCATTTTAATGGTCTAAGAGAATATAGTATAACAAAGGGATTAACCGATCTTAATACTGGAAAAATGTATATCTATAAGGGAAACAATATCAGACATAAAAAAATAAGAAGCTCTATCTTCATTCCAGTCTTCTGATGTATCACCCCCATTCTTTCCACAATGATCATAATTCATGCTACTCATTGACCTCTAACTTTACTGAGAGTGTCCATTCCTAGTTAGATAACTGAATTTTGTGGCTTTTTGTTCTTTGTAATGAAGCGACATCTGCTGCCCCTAAAGAAACAAAAAAGTTATAACATTAAAATATATATATATTAATGTCAGTTTACACAACAATAAGAAGCATAAGAAGCATAATAACGCAAAATTAAATCTTAAATTTAATTTAAAAATTAAAAAAATTAAAAAAACAAAATAAGTTGGTTTAACTTTTGATACTTACTAACTATTCAAAAATATTTCAAATCAATTGTATATGTATTGGAAAGAATTATGGAAAAAAGGATAAAGGAGCTATATTAAGCAAACTGTATCAATTTTAGTATTTCAGGTGGGTAGCTGCATCAACATGCATAGACTGCAAAGGAACAAGTAATAGGTTTATTCCAGGCTGAAAAAAGAAGAAAGAAAACACAACGTTTTGGCTGTGGAGCCTTCTTCAGGTGTGAACAATTATAATATGTTCTATATTATATTTGAATTAATAAAATTACATACAATATTATATAGTGCAGAGGTACTCTGATCCAACCCCCATCACCTGCAGTAGCAACCTGATTTTCTTTGGAGGTGTCACAATTAATTTTAGCAGAAAAATTTAAAAAAATATTTTAAAAAATATTTATTCCAATAAAATGTGTCCTTAAGGAATGCATAACAGATTACAACCTGTCTGTATCTGTATCACCCCTTCAAGGTGCCTTTGATTAAGATTCATGAACCCTGTCTAAGAGTCCTACTGCATGATACTGGGTAAAATATAAAGTTGAGCTGTAATTTGTCAATAACAGTAGCTGCCATTAACTAAAAAATATATTTCCGTGTCGTTACAGCATGTGAGATTTCTTTTACGAAAAATATATTATTCATCACATCTTTATTAAACCTAGCTTTACTGCTAGCCTGTTAGGTGACTTGGTAAGACTGTACTGCTAAAAAACAGAACAAATATTAAGTCAAGCACAGGCTAGCCATTCTGCTTTACTTGCGTCCTTTTAAAGTAGACTGTGACAGGGTGTCTGCTGGTACTCAGTTGCGAGGTTTGCTAGGAGTTGGTGTCTTCATGTGTAGCAGCTGAGAGCCACCCTATTTAAACTATGCTGTTAAGTTCTATTCAGGAAGCAGAAATGTTCTTGCTGGTAGAAATTCATATAATTGTTACACCTGGTCGGGTCAGCCCTTGGTGTCCTTGGAGACTATTCACATTCGCATTGAGAGCTCAACATTACACACCTGATTCGGCGAGCTGTCCCTACCACCTGTAAACCACCTGCTGCCTGTAAACCTTGATTAGCACTGTCTTTAAGCCCTGCTGCTCAGAGCTCAGTTATTGAGTAGCTTTCAGCCACCCTCTGTTCTGACCTGAGAATTCTGTTTTCCAGTCTAGTTCTGCTTACTGGACGTCTTGTGTGGTCCCACTCGATCTGCTACTTGCAGTATTACTTCTCCACTGCTTCTCCAGTCACCTACCAGCATCGCTCCAAGTGCCTCTGTCTGTTATTCCTGAGTGTCTTTGAAACTTTCTGTCAATCCTCGCCTGGGGAGCTTCGGGTATTTTCATCAGACCAAATCTCTCCAGTTGCATCAACCTCTTTGTATTTTTCAGTAAGCTAGCCTAAACCACGCAAATTAATCACTTTTTTCCTCTAACTGCAGGCGTCTATTTTCATTCTAGCCATGGCGTAACAATTATTATGGATAAAAATAAGCTTTAAGGTAATGTAACATTTTATGTTGGGGTCCCTAGCATAGAAACTAATAATATTGTAACACTGTATTAAGTAGCATTTCATTTTTGTACAAAATCTATAATTTTGTGTAATAATGTGTAATATCTATCTATAATGTGTTATATGCATTATATGCCCACTTTGACCATAATTTCCATATATATTATTTCAGATACTGTATATATAGAAAAAGTGTCAGAACAGATATTCCTAGCTATAAGTGTATAACAGGATAGTATACAGTATATCCCCTTTAACTGCCAAAAATGTTTGATAAATTGCCCAAGCCAGCATACACATGCCATATACTGCGCATTGTATCAACTAGGCTGACATTGGGTTCAAACCTCAAGACCAATAGTAGTAGTAGTATTTTGCCACATATTTAATAATGGATTGTTTAATTTACCTTCCGAGAGCCTCAACTTCCTCAATAGTTTCTGGTAGATCAATGCCTTTTGTTTCAGGTAAAAGCATAACCACAACACTATAGATCAAACACATGACTCCTGTAAAAATTCAGATGGAGAAAGCATTGTCATAGATCTTGCAAAATAAGAATGTATATTAAATATGCCAAATAGAATTGATAAACCGCAGACATGGAAATGCAATCATAATAAACAAAGTCCACTGCTTTTGATTGGAAGATCTGTGATTTAAAAGATCACTTTATATGCTTTTTCATCTCAAAATTGCAACACTAACATCATGTACAGGGAGGTTTTAACCAAATAGGATTTTATTATTATTATTACAACACTGGATTCTATGTTGGAAACATGCAGGCACTTAAATTTTCATGGAAAATATAATGAATTTAAGGGTCAAAATATTCCGAATTTAAAACCAACTATTTTAGTTTAAATTTTAGGTGATATGTATTGACATTTTTTTTACTGTTTATACCAATGGCTGTGAAGAGTAAAAGCAAAAATAACAATAAAAAATAACAGTAAACCTAAAATATTTCAATAATCAAATTCCATAATATGAATGTCATTACTCTATCATGTCATAAATACTTCAAAACATTATTTCCATTCCAAACATAATTCTTTTTCACCATCTTATCTATTATATTAGAAATATAATTTTTATTATTTTCATGCAAATTACAGTTTTCAAATAATAATGAAATTCAAACACAACATATATCCACATCTCTTGTTCTAGTCAAAGCCAGTGAGTCAGAACTGAGTATCACATTATGTGTTACACTTTGATTTAGTACAGTTTATAAACTAAAAAAAAAAGTTAGAAATATCCATAAAGTGTAATGTATATATACAGTACTCACCATACAACAAGAGAGGAAGCTCTAGCCATATGCTTGCTAATCTAAAGAGCAAGAAAGGTGCAACAACTCCTCCCACATCACTGGACGAGGAGCATATTGAGGCTCCAAGGTTTCTTCAAAAGAAAAAAAATATTTTTTGAAAACATATTACAGTGCATTTGCAAAATATTTCTTTAAACCAAGACTGAATTCAAAATGTTGACATTTAAACTGAAAATACTGGGTTAAGAGTCCCTAGAGACAATACCTCTACATACTGTAGGAACAAGTAATAGGTTTATTCCATGCTGAAAAAAAGAAGAAAGAGAACACAACGTTTCGGCCGTGGAGCCTT